GCACTTGCCGTCTGCCTCATTTTCCTCATCTGAAAAATGGGGATGATAAAACTGCCTATCTCCCAGGGCAAAATGTTTTATCAAACAAGAGAATATTTGTAAGGAACTTTGCAAACTTTAAAGTGCTATACAGATGCAGGCTATTGCTATTACACCCAGCATTCTTGTCTCTGTATGAGACAACCAGGCAGTAACAAAAACACTGGTTTCTAGAACAGAGGTTCTTAGCCAGGGATCCATGAAATGAGTTTTAATATTTTGATAACTTCATTCAAATTTAATGGGTTTCCTTCATGATCCTATGCACTTTATTTTGTGCATTTAAAAACAAAGGGGTCCACAGGTTTCAGCAGACTTTGTTAAAGGGCATCCATGACAGAAGAGCAGTTAAGAACCCCTTCTCTAAAATGTTACATTTAAACAAACAATAGCAAGATGCTGACTTATTCTTGGCCCATTTTTAAAGGGATACGACTGAAAAATAAAATAATAACAGATTGCCAGAATGTATTTCCTCCTTACCTCCATTTCTGAGAACTCCCAGCTTCCTTCAAAATTCAACTCAAGCTCTATCTTCTATATGTGGTCTTTCCTGATCCCCTCGCCTATTCACGCTCCCTCCCAAAAAATTAGTTTGTATTTATTTTGCTTATATGTTACATTGAATTATATATAGATACATTGTTTCTTCTCAAAAGAGCTTAAGGTCCTTGAGGGCAGGGGCTGCTTAGTTTTGTCTCTATGTAGTTGCTCTCTGGATACTTTGTAATTGTTTGTTGATTTATTACAGAACTTTTGTTATTTTACTTATCGATGTGAGCTATTAAGATCAAGAGGCAATTTCATTTCTCACCTACTGCCCAAAAAGCACCTTGCTTAGGAGTATATTTAGGAAGAGAGTCAAGTCATATTTCTAAACGCCTTAACGCTGTTACAAAAGCAGACGACCAGACATCATCTCAGGGACACATCCATGCACATTTTTCCATTTTAAGATTTTATTCCTGATGAAAAAGAAGGGCAGATAGGTGGTACCGTGGATTGAGGCAGGAAGACGCAAGCTCAAATCCTGCCTCCGATACTTACTAGCTATGCAATCCTGGTCAAGTCACATAATCTCAGTTTACCTCAGTTTCCTCCGCGGTAAAATGGGCATAATAATAACACTTACTTCTAAGGGTGGTTGTGAGGATCGAATGAAATAATATTTGGATAGTGCTTGGCATAGCCCCTGGCTCCTAATAGGTGCTTGCTAAATGCCAGTTCCCTTCCCCTTTCAATGTGCGAAGCCACAACATTCAGGCGGGTCAGCAAATAATCTCTATTTTCTCTCCTACTTCACCTAACATCAGTCATTCCAAGAAAATGGAGGGTAGGCACTATTTCTAGGTTTGTTCACTTTCGTCTCTGTGTCTCCAGGAACTAGGTTATTGTAGTTCAGAGGACTGTACTGACCTTAGGATGTAGAGCTCAACCCCGCCCCCGCCCCCATTTTATAGATGAGGAAAGTGAGGTACAGAGAATTTAAGTGAAATGGCTAATGGGTGTGCGGAGGGATTTGAAATCAGGTCTTTCCAACTACTAATCCTCCCTTCTATTCACTATGACACTCAGTAGCTTCTGCCTAATAAATATTTCTTGAACCCAATACAGTCTAACAGTTTGGAACAGTGGAAAGAATATTGGGTTTGGCACCCAAACACCTGAGTTTGACTCTCAGGTGTGACACTCACTATCTATCTGTGTTGTCTTGGAAAGTCACTTTTCTTCTCTAGACCTCAGTTTCTCCATGTGTAAACTGATCAAATGAGACAACAGACTAAACAGACAAACTGCTATATAACTAGCTTTGTGAACCTAGTCAAGTCACATAACCTCTGTTTGCCTCAATTTCTTCTACTGTATCTGGTCAAAGATGAGAGATCAATACACACTGGCCAGATTGCTTTGGTATATCTTAATAATGGGATAGAGACTGAATCTGATTTGATAGAGACTGAATGTAAGACTTGAGGATGAGGGAATACCTTCTAATAATGTAGGTTAGCACCTTCAAAGAAACAGAGTCTTAGTTGTCCAGGAAACTGAGAGATTAAGGGACTTGTTTGCCTAAAGTCACAGAGCAGCCAGTAAGGATCACAATTCAGTCTAGAACCCAGGTTTTCCTGGCCCTGAGGCCATACTGCTAATCAATTTCCCTCTCCTTAACAATCCATATGTATATGATCCATTAAAGTTTACAAAGGACCTTCTTCCCAAAGACCACTAGAGAGAGGCTGCACAAAGTACTTCTCTACTATTCCAGTTTTACAGGCAGAGAAACTGAGGCTCAGTTACTTGCCCACTCCCTCCACAAGTGCCAGGGACAGCATCTGAACCACAATTCAATTCCACTCAATTCAATAAGTTATAAGTCCGACACTTCTCATTACACCAAGATGCCCCCTGAAGTGGGGTGCTGGATCTGCCTAAGATATCCAGCAACTGCAAAATCTTCTAATACTCCAAGATAGAGAAAGGTCACAGGGCACTTCTCAAGTGTCTCCCAAGCTCACTCTCTCAATTTTTTTTTTTGCTCAATTTAACACCCCTTTATCTTTTTAATGGAGTAACTACATTTCTCTGCAATCACAAAAAGTTTTTAAAAAAACAAACTTATCTGCTAAAGCCTTCATCCTTTTCATAACTACCATATAAATGCCAGAGTCTTTCGCACACACACAATTTCTACTTGCAAGTTTATTACTGGCACCTCTAAAAAAATCTGCTTATAGGCAGCTTTCTCTATGGACAGACCCAGGAACCTTCTAAGACAATCTCTAACTTTATAATCCCCATAAATTGAAACTCATAACTGACCTTTCCAAATAAACTTGTACAACAGAGGGGGAGATATCAGAGGGTTATTTTGCTTGGCAACGGGGATCTGAAATTGATTTAGGGTCATTAATAGATGTCTGGAACATGTTTCAGCTTCTCTCTCCCTCCCCAATCCTATCCTCCCCACTCCAACCAAAACTACAGTAAATATTTGAGAAGATGGGTCTGCAAGAAACTCTGGGAGCCAAAAAACGCTCAAAACACATGCAAAACAAATTAGGGAGGGAGAAAGGCAAGCTGGCTGGCCAGAAAAGAAAAAAATAATAGTAATAAAGGCAAATGGAGAGATGAGAGTCTGCAAAAGTTTCAAGGGCTATACTCCTCGAAAAGCTGCTGAGCCTGGAAAGTCTTGTTTTGTTCCTGAGCCCCTAAATAAATAAAGATGTAACTTGTCTCCCTTTCAGTTGCTGGGCTCTGTCTGAGAAAGGCAGGACAGGGGTTGGCTTCACAAAAACCCTCCTGTGTTAAAAGAACGGAAACTCCTAATGAGATTAGTTGGGGGGGGGGGTGAGTGTGTGAGTGTGTGAGTGTGTGAGTGTGTGTGTGTGTGTGTGTGTGTGTGTGTGCGCGCAGACATTACTTAGCGGTGACTGAAGGGGCTCTCTTCCTGCAAAAGCCAATGGAAAATTCAGGGAACTTTTTTCCCCCTGCAGCATCAGTCTTTCTAACCTTCTCCTGCAAAGCCAAATCCAAAAACAACTCTCTCCTTTTTCTCTCCCCCCCCTTTTTTTCAGGAGGGTGGAAAGTGGCAAAGTGGGCCAGGGGGCTTTAAAAAGCTGGCGGGGCACGGCGGGAATGGGGGGCAGGGGGCTGGAGAGACTCTTGAAGACTACAAAGGAAACTGTAAAAAGCGCAAATACATAAACCTGAGCAGGAGAAAAACCACAGAGTTTCTTTGTGAGCTGCTGAAGTGACTCATTTTCAAGATGTTGTCTGGTGCCAGTTTCAAAGCGGAAGCGCATGGCAATTAGTCCTCCTGTTTCCAGACAAGCCAGAAATTCTCCCGACACTCTCCTCTTTTTTTTTAAAGCCCCTTCTGCAGTTTCTGAAATCATAGCGCTTGCTCCCACCCCCGGCCCCAGAAATGACTCCTCCTCCTCCTCCTCCCCCTCCTCCCAGCACACACTTTGATCAGCTGGGGAAGCCTAGCCAACAAACCCAGAACTCCTTTTTTGACTGGAAAAAGAAAAAGAAAATGCTCAAGCAACCCTCCCCGCAATGTCACGCCTACCCACCCCCTACACTTTATTGACAAACATTTGCGCTCTCCGAAAGCAGTACTGGCCCGGCTGAAGCATACATCTCCCCTGCCCTTGGCCCTGGCTCCAACCTCTGCTAGCTTCAGGGATCTTTAAATGTCCCACATGGGGTGGGAGGGGAAGTCAGGGATCTCCCAAGAGTGACTGCTCCATACTCTCTTCCCCACCCCACCTCCACCTCTTCCCCCCAAGAAGTGACATCATTTTCCCCCCTCCAGATCCCTTCACTTCTCCAGAGGAGGCTTTGCCCTCCCTTCACCCCAGGGGTCCACCTAGGACGGCTGCAGCCTCTTCTAAACTCAGGGCTGAAATAAGCACACCCTCCAAGGCTCAAACAACTGTCCTCTCTGCCCCCTTTCCTTCCAGACACTCTCCCTGAAAGATTGGGGAGGAGTCTCCAATCTTCCCTGTCCATTCCTCCCCATTCACCCCCTTACCCTTCGGGGTGCGCCTCACTCCCCACTGCATGCACTCTAGAGAAGAAAAAGGGGGAGCGCCCCGAAGATGTAAGAGCATCCCTACTGCTTTTGTCTCCCCTGCTCCAGAATAAGGAGGCTCAGAAAGCAGTCCTGTAACCCGCTGGTCACAGGAGCAGACAAAGTGGGGCAGCCTGAGGAGGCTCAGGGCGAGGATCTGCCCCGGGGAGTGGCTGCCAACGGAGCTCAAGCAGCATGGGTCCGTCTGTCCAGCTGCAGACGCATATACCCTTACACATACAGCCTCTGCAACAAAACATCCAGGAGAGGGCCCCCCCTAGAAATCCCCACCCGATACCCCTAGCCCCGGCCCCCGAGAGCACGCAAACTTTGCAGCAGCTCTCACTTTGCAACCGCACAAGCTAGCGAAGTCCCCTCAACTTACCCAGATGTCGGATGAGCTTTAACCAATTCTTCTGCTGGGTAATATTTTAAGAGGAACTGGGTAAAATCCCCTGATTTTCCATGCTGACAGGCGTCTGCGAACGGTCTGTTTCTCTTGTAATGAGATCCTGATTCCCCCCCCCTTTTTTTTTCTGTCGCTCACTCTCTCTCTCTCTCTCTCTCTCTCTCTCTCTCTCTCTCTCTCTCTCTCTCTCTCTCTCTCTCTCTCTCTCTCTCTCTCTCTTTTTCTGCTGTGTGTGTGAGAGAGAGCAGGAAGTTGGAGCAGTCAGACAGAGAGCGGGCTCACTTCCTTTACTGAGCTATTCCCCAGGCGGTTTGCAGTCTGTGTAAACAGGCTTTTCCTCCCTTCTCCTCTCTCTCTGGCCGCTGATGTTCAGCATGGCTGTAATATAAGACACACACATAATAAAATGGTAACGGTAACTAACACACACACACACACACACACACACACACACACACATATACACACACACGCACGTACACGCAGACACACACTCTCTCTGAACAGACACGGCGGAGCTCCTGACCCCCCACCTCTTCCTGTTCCACCACCCCAGGGGAGGAGCTTCTAACCAGCTCCAACTTGGTACAAGAGCAGCCTTTTCCTAACATAGAACAAGGTGGCTGGGATGGAGAAAAATAGACATTTTCCCCTTATCCTCCATCCTCCCCCCAACTGTCCCATTCTGTGCTCTCCAACCTCACCCTATAGGACAGCCCCGGAGATGGAATGACATGATGGTATTCATTCCATAAAGAATTCATCTTTTCCTGATGCAACTCCACTTAGAATCATTGCTTAGAACAGGATGCAAGTGGTCATCCTGAAATACTAAAACTGGAGAAGGGACCTTGCCGATCCTGGGATCACAAATTTGGAGCTGGAAGGAACCTCAATGATCCTAGGAACACAGATCTAGGACTGGAGGGGACCTCAGAGGCCATTTAACTCTTATTTACAGATGGGTAAACTGAGCTTCAGGGACAGTTAGGTAGCACAGTGGATATAGCACTGGGCCTGAAGTCAGGAAGACCAGGGTTCAAATCCAGCCTCAGATATTCACTACCTGTGTGACCCTGGGCAAGTCTCTTAAACCTGCTTGCTCCAAGCCATGGAGGCTTCAAGTGTTGAAGGGACTTGCCCAAGCTCAGCCCTTGGTAACTAAGGTACTGAGCCAGGATTCAAACTCAGGTCCTCTTCTCTCATACTTAGCACTCTTCCCTAAGTTCTCATCATGCAGCATTGAGGGATCATTGATCCAAAGCTGAAAGGGAGCTGGAGTCTAACCACCTCATTTTACATTTAGGGAAACTGAGGCCCAGAGCCGTCATGTAGGTTGGAGCATCCTGCTTTTATCAAGGAGGGCACGGCTTGGTCTGCCTGCCTGAAGTCTCTCCTCCCTCCAGTCTATCTTCCACTCAGCAGTCAAAGTGATCTCCCTAAAGTGAAAGTCTGACCATGTTATCCCCCTAATTTGGCTTAAATCTAAAATCTTCTGTTTGGCTATTAAAACCCTCCATAACCTGCTCCCTCCTACCTCTCCACACTTCTTCCACTTGGGCATTCTATGACTCAGCAACACTGACTTCCCTGCTATATTTTGCAAGATACAATATCATCTTCCAAGTGGGTCTTTTCAAGGGCTGTTCCCCAAGCCTGGAATTCACTCCCTCCTTGTCTCTGCCTCCTGACCTCCTTCAAATCAAGAAGCCCTCCCTAGAACTCCTTAATCTTTGTGCCTTGCCTCTAAGACTATCCCCAAGTGATTCTCTATCTGACTCGTTTGTACAGAGTTGTTTTCATGCTGTCTCCCTCATCAGACTGGGAGCTCCTTGAAGGCAGGGAGCAGTTTTGCCTTTCTTTGTGTGCTTAGCACAGTGCCTGGCACATGGCAGTCCCTTAATGAATACTTGTTGACTTGACTTAACACGGAGCCTCTGACTGGTCAACTCAGAAGTTAGGCAAGACTTTTTTTTTTTAATGTGTGCAAGAAAAGAAAAGAATCCAATTTTGAGTAGAATATTCATAACTTAAAGTCAAGATTCTATTGGAAAAGTCTTTTCTGGGAATTCTGAAGGACTTAAAAGTGGAATTCCATATGGCTTTCTGTATGCCACAGAGCTGATTTCCTGGCTGCCTGAGAGGGTTACATGAAACCAGCAGCGACCAGGAAATAGCCCCGAGAGGATGCAGTATCCATGCTCCCCTACACCTGAGACAGGCACAGGGGCTCCTGGTCGAGAATATTCTCACACCCCAAAGATCCCAAACACCGATTCTTTTCCAGGGTGGCTCTTGAGCATCCCCTGCCTTAGGACTGCCTGAGGAAGCCGCTGCCCGTGAAATAGGACCCAGCTAGCATCTTGTTTCTAGTGTGTGGGAACTACATGCAAGAGACAGGATTGGGGTTGGAGAAAGGAGCAAAGCTGGGGGGAAGGGAGTGAGGGGGAAATAAGAAGGGCTTGGCTAACCATTCACAGTAAACTTTCCACTTTGTGGATTATCTAAAGCAAATTTTTGATCCCTGCCCGGCAACAAGCAGCCAGACTCCTTTTCTGAACTGCCCCAACGCCGGTTCATAACCCAGCCCCTTCATACCTTCCCCATCTTCCTAGACTTTACTTCCTTCCACTTACTCTGCGATCCACAGACACCTGTCTTCTCGCTGGTCCTCAAACAAAACACTCCCGCCTCCTGACTCCCGGCCTTTTCATTGGCTGTTCTCATGCCTGGATACTCTTCCTTCTTGCTTCTCCCTCCTTTAAGATCAATTCAAGTTCCACTTTCTGCAAGGGCCCTTTCTTAATGCTCCCTACCCCAGTTCCTTCCCTTGGAGATTCCCTATCACGCACCCTCTATCTTATATGAACAGAGTGCTGCCATATTGTCTCCCCCATTGGACTGGGACGTCCTGGCACACCAGAACAGTGTGTTTGCCTTTTTTTGTACTCTCAGTATTTAGTGCCTGGCACTAGATGAAATCCAAGAAGTGAAATCAGCATTTCGTAGTGCCTGCTATACACCAGGCACTATGCTAAGCACTTTACAATCATAACTTCATTTGATCCTCACAATAACCCCCAGAGGTAGTAGGTGCTATTATTCTTCCTATGTTACAAATGAGGAAACTGAGGCAGGAATAAGTGACTTGCCCAGGGCCACACAGCTATTACATTTCTAAGGCTAGATTTGAACTCAAGAAGTTGAATCTTATACACTCCAGGCCCAGGGCTCTATTCACGGCACCACCTAGCTGCCCCAGGAGACTATATATATATATATACACACAAATATTTACAAAATAAATACAAGGCAATTGATTTGGGAGCAGAATACTAATAGTTTGTTGTTTTTCAGTCATTTTAGCTGTGTCTGACTCTTTGTGACTCCATTTGGGGTTTTCTTGGCAAAGATAATGAAGTGGTTTGCCATTTCCTTCTCCAGTTCATTTTACAAATGAGGAAACTGAGGCAAACAGGGTTAAGTGACTTGCCCAGGGTCACACAGCTAGTAAATATCTGAGGCCCAGTTTGAACTCTGGAAGATGAGTCTTCCTGATTACAAGCTCAGTGCTCTCTCCACTGAACTACCTCAGGAAAACTCATGTAAAAAGTAGTGATTGAACTGAACTTTGAAGAAAATTAGCAATTCTATGAGGAGAAGAGGAGAGGGTCTATGGTGGGGGGAAAACAGGGGGTAAAGGGAAGAGCCCACTATAAAGCAGAGCAAGTTTAGCTGGACCATAGTGTGTGTGAAAGGGAATCATGTGTAATAAAGCTGGAAAAGCAGGCTGGAGTCAGGCCAAGGAGCGATATAAATGTCAAACAGAAGAGTTTGTGTTTTCCCAAGCAATAGGGAGCAACAGTAATATTGTTATTGTTGTCCTTTGTGCTCAAAGAGGACCAAAATGACATCATGACTTTGGAGTCAATGTACAGTGTGTCCGACAGTGGCTGATCAGACCCATACGAGCTTGGAAGGCTCTACCCCAGGTTGGGCACAAATAGTCCGTATCAACATTTGGAGTGGAGATGGCTCTAAATTTGCACATCTCATGTTTCTTTTGAGCTCCTGCAATTCCACTTTGCTCACAGAACACAGCGCCTTCTTTGATGTGGGTGTGCCATGCTGGATGGTCCCGTGCCAGTGTCTCAGTGATATACGGAGCAGCGACAGATCAGACCAATGCTTTAGGAAAATCACCTGGGCAGCTTGGGGGAGAATAGAGGGAACAGATTTGAGTGGGGGAGATCAATTAAAGGCTATTGCAATAATCCAGTGAGAGTTGATATGTGCCCGAATGCTATCGGTGGAGAAAAGGGGTCAGATGCTAAAGCTGTTGAAGAAGCAGGATATTTGGCAACTGACAATTTTGGAAACTAAGGGAAAGTGAAGAATTCAGAATTATTCCAAGGTTGTGAACCTGGGTGACTGGTAGAATGGTGATGCTCTTGACAGAAATGGGGAAGGGAGGAAGGGAGGGCTGAGTTGAGGAGGAAGAGAATAAGTTTTGTTTTAGACATGTGGACTTTGAGATGCCTATTGGACAGCCAGTCTAAAATCTCCAATAGGCAGCTGGTGATGTAGGAGTGGAGCTCAGGAAAGAGACTAGGGCTGGAAATGTTGATCTGAGAGTCATCTGGATGAAGATGACTGAAACCAGGGCAGGCGATGGGGTCACTAAGAGAGACAGCATAGAGGGAAACAAGAAGAGGGACCAAGACAGGCTTGTTCGACACCCAAAGTTATGGACCAGGACAGAGACGATGGTCCAGTAAAGGAGACTGAGGAGGGACCAGACAGAAGAAGACTTCCAGCAACACATCTTGACTACTTTTCATTTTTATTATGTGACCATTATGTGGTCACATAATTTTATTATGTTGATCAAGTCATTTAAACTTCTCAGGATCCCTAAGACCCAGCTACTAAATCACAAATGTGTGTCTGTTTTGCATAGGAAGTTCCTTCACCAAGAATCTCTGATTCCCATACCAATGAAATCAGAAATCTTTCTCATATTTACAAATACATATATGTGTGTGTGTATATATATATATATACATATGTATATATGTGTGTGTGTATTAAGTGTGTATCAAGCCTGGAGTCAGGAAGACCCAAGTTCAAATCCAGTTTCAGACACTTATTAGCTGGGTGTCACTTAAGGATCAAATTAAATAATATTTGTAAAGTGGTTAAGTCACTTAACCCCGTTTGCCTCAGTTTCCTCATCTGTAAAATGAGCTGGAGGAGGAAATGGCAAACCACTCCAGTATCTCTGCCAAGAAAATCCAGAGAAAACCACAAAATGTCAGACATGACTGAAATATGTCAGCGAATGTGCTAAGTCCCACGGGGATACAAAGAATGGCAAAAGCAGCCCCTACCCTCAAGGAATTCAAAGATTAATGGGACCATATCCCTAAGGATGGGAAGGTAGAAATCCCCCTTCCCCTTCCAACGTCTCCTCATGCCTCATAAAAATCATCACTGCAATTTGGGAGTTGGAGAGGAATAAGAGAGA